GTATTGCTGCGAAATGTACACACAATATTATACAATACAAAGCAGCATGCAACTTGGAACTCGCCCTATACATATGTAAATATGTAGATGTTTGAAATAATTTTAATTTATAATACTGTGCTTTGAAAACAAAAGAATTAAAATAAATAAATTTTCTTCAACTTATATTTACATACATATACTATGTCTCCATTGTGAGATTTAATGAAGATTTAGCCCTCTGACGAGATTTGACGTTAAATTTTTTTAGATTTAAATCTTCAATAATATTGATCAATAAGTACAATTTGTTGGATGTGGCAACCACGAATTCACATGCCATAAGTCAAATGACATTTGTGTTTTCAATAAACAGTTGAGGACATTGAAATATAGTCTATCATAAAAACATTAATTTTCGTATTTTTAGAGATTTTTATATTTTTGTTAGTTTGGGAGGAAAATTAGTAATACATATTTACATAACTTTGGTTGTAATAAATTAAGAAAATATTATTTTAAAAACTAAAAATTTAGAAGAAATGTTTTATAGTAATATCATGCAGAGTGTTCTCCGCTTTCTATAAGTCATTTACGCGCTGCGACAAAATGTTTATAAACTTCGGTAATGGTTCTGCTTCGATAACATTGCACCGAACATCCCCTAGGACTCAGTTCGTATTCATGATATGCCAAAGGCCCACGATTGGATTTTCGGTTCCCTCCTATGAATAAGAGAGTTCTACAAAAATTTTTCTTTCCGCAAATGTGAATATGGTACCATTCTTTACACTTTCCAAACTATATATCATACATACATATTTACCACGAATAAGATGCCAATAATATTCAGAATTCATATAATGAAATTCCGCTTGGTACCTTCCTTTTATCTGTCTGTATATCAATGTCCGCAACTGTATTTATAAAATCATACATAAGCAAACGTCAAATATTTAAAAATGTGAACGTCAAAAATATCTCGTTGTGGTAATGGAGACGGTTGTGATTTAGCAACTAGATTTATTAAATCTTAAAGGATACATCTCTCAATGGAGAAATAGTAATACATCGCCAAATAGTGATAAATTCGGGCAAATGTTTGCGGCAGAGAGCGAATGAGTCAGTTCATATTCATTCGTATATAACGAATGAAAATAATATACCCTTAAGTTAATTAGAACGCAAACAAAATTAAAAAATCCATTCTTCCGAATGAAAACAAAAAAAGAAAACAATCGTCGCCAGGCAACGAAAACAAATGGTTATAAAATTCGTTCACAGATCGCAAATACAAATGTAATGAATTAATTTTAATCATTTGAAAACGAATTTTTCTGCACCCGGTTTAAAAAGATTTCTAAATTGATGCTTTTATATATTTTTCCATTTGTAAACCTTTTTAATGAACCTTATGAATAAAACTATTAGTTATATATATACGCCGCCCGAACAAAGTATTGGCACAGCAAATTTTTCACAATATATGCAAAAGTTTTCATTCTAATATTTTTCTACCAATTTCGTATAAAAATATGTTTCATTCTACAACAAAAAACATAAAAATATAATTCCTAAACTTTGTGCAAAACTCCCGAAAATTCAGCAAATTTTCATGAAAATTTTAAATTTTTTAAGAATTTTTAAATAAAGATTTTTTAGAATTTGTTTGATGCAGATTTGTAGCCCAATGAATTTTATTATAATAAAGTGCAAGACTTAAGTAGCAAGGAATTACCGATATCTCGTCCCTAATTCTTTCGCCTTCTGTTGTGTTGATCCGCAATGTTTCTATATCAGAATATATGTCTCCGTCTGCCTCACTTGCTTGGGTTATGTGTTCGTCTTCAGTATCCACAATTTTATAACGTCTACAAATATTGTGAAGTGCACAGCACACGTTTACTACTTTGACTTTTTTTTCTGGGCTGTAGTGCAAAATTTCAAGTAGGCAACGGAATCGATTTTTCAACACTCCTATGGTTCGTTCTACAATATTACGAGCCGCTGAATGTGCCAGATTAAATTTGTACTGCTGCGAGTTGAACTGTGGATTTCGATATGGCGTCAGCAAAAATGGTTCAATGCCATATCCACAATCTCTTAAAAACCGATAGGTGCGATCGCCTGTTGGATACTGATTTAGAATGTATTGTCGGCCACTGCTAATGTTCCAAACAAAGGAGTCGTGACTTGCCCAGGATACCGGGAATCAACCGCCCGTATCTGCATATTATGATCACAAACCTTAAATTGAGTGACTTAAAACAAATGGGTTAAATTAGGTATCTCTTTATACTTATCATTGTATTCATGCTGAATTATCTTTTCTGTTGTAGTACAAATGTTCGTCAAGATGAGGCTTTATTATTTTAACATGACTGCCGTCAATGCAGTCAGTAATACCTGGAGTTTTGTACTTTTCATAAAAATGCTGCATACATTGATGCTTTTCACGTTCATCTATTGCTATTTGTATCCATTCCAGGCAAATTGTTCGCTTAAGAATATTCAAAACATGTGCTAGTACTTTCGACGCCGTACTTCTCCCTAAGCTGACGTTGAAATCATTTCCTACTGTCTCTGGTATGAGCCTTCTGCTAAAAAACGTAGCGTTGTTGCAAGCTGAAGCATGGGAGGCAGAGAACTCTGAAGCAAGTGGGGTTATACAACGCCCATAACCATACGAAATGCATCTTTATTTAAACGGAACTGTCTAATGAATCTAAAATAAGATTATTATATACATAAATATGTGCACTTTTACAAAAATTACGCTTGCGATAGAGAATGAGCTTACAATCGTTCCGGCATCTCTCTGATCTCTTTTGCGTTTCGTTTTTTCATCACGGTTTATTCTCATTAACAAATACACGGCCACAGCGTTACTCATTTTTTACCACTTATCAAATATCGATATATTTAAACAGCAAATAATCCCAATTTCCTTTTACTTGCACAAGTAAATACAAATTTTTCATCCAACTTTACTGCACAGCTGGTTCGAACATGGGTTTTGTTTATCTTCGAAAAAGCGAAATCCAATCAGATTCTGCGACACCATTTTAAATCAGAATCCAAACCGATTCTGACAGAAAAACAGTTATTAAATTCGCCTTGAATTGATTCTTATTTGACTTGTGAACTTGGCTGTCAAGTTTTTCTTATTCCATTTTATTTTTATTTCGCTGCGTGGAAATTTTGACATTTTGAATAAATAAATGTTGTTGTTTTCGAGCCCACAGAGGAGTATTAGCATAGTAAAACTGGTCAAAATTATTTGGTGTGTTTTTCTGCTAAGTCAAAGCACCATCGCAAAAATGTAGAAAGAAGGTTTTTTCTTAACAGCGGTTGCCCCTCGGCGGGCAATGGCAAACCTCCGAGAGTATTTCTGCCATGAAAAACGGCTTCCCATAAAAAATACAATCGCCGTTCGGAGTCGGCGTAAAACTGTAGGTCCCTCCACTTTGTGTGACAACATCAAGGCGCACGCCACAAATCGGAGGAAAACTTGGCCAAACACTAACATATGTGTAGGCGCCAATCTATTATTATTATTATTAATAAAAGAAAACACGGAACTTAATGATAATAAGCCGTTTTATGAAAAAGAAATAAGTAAAATTTCACTTATCTAAGAAAAAGTAGAATAAAAACTAGCGATGCATCCAGTTTTTTCAACAGACCTTTGACAAATAATATTCGATAACTACATAATTATTATCTTATTAAAGGTTATCTTTTAACGCGCAAATAGTCGCTTCACTTAATAGCCACATACATAGAAGCACCTATTGAAGGATCTTACTCTTTGACTTTAAAGTACAAAAGAAGGGGGACGTAGGGGACAATTTTAACGTAGCATCGCCACAGGAAAAAAATATTGGCTACAATTTGTCATTTTGTTTGCCAGATATACGTTTTATCAGTGCACTTGGACAATATTCGCATTCGCAAAAGCTCTGCATTGATTATTGCGGTTGCAAAAGCGAATGCGAATGTTAAAATTAATGCGGAAGCTCCGCGGTTGCGAATGGGAATGCGAATATTCGCAACAACCCTGCTCTGTACACACACCCATATATCGTTGCTTAAAGTACAAAACCTCGTATCGTCATTCTGCAAAACCGCGGAACTGACATTTGCTGCCAAAAATGGATTTGCTCATTTGAGTATTGAGTAGGTATGACCTTGCCAAAATACCAAAGTTAAAGTTACCTACAAAAAGCAATGCATAGGGTTTTTAGAACAAAGACATATGCAGATTTTTTAGACCACGGAGCACCCCGATTCTCGGGGATTATTACTAGTTGTAAGTATTTCACTTACTGCCGCGTCACTATAATCACTTTCGTCAGAGGAAATATCAATTTTTTAAGTAAAAATTGAATTAGAAGACCTTGCGTTCAATTGAATTTTTTGCAACCAAAACAAACGAATCAGCAAACAGTTGATAGGTTAAACCCTGCCATATCGGCCGTTTAAGCTTTGTCGTATCATATGTTTTCAAATATGTAGCTAAGCAGAATATACTGAAGTGCCGCAAGAACTAATGTATTTCTTCTCTACAGGTTTCTCGGGAAAGANACTCAGTTTAAAGTTGACTGAAAAACTGCTTATTGGGTTTAAACTTAGTTTAATCGACAAACAGAGTTAAACTCGCACTGGAAAACTGGCCCTGAAAAGGAAATGCTGCGGGCATTAGTAATACACATACGTGCATACACCTATGATAAGCTGATTATGTCATCAACATTTTGATACATTTTGGCTATTTTTCTTTTGTTTATTTAATGTTTGTTATTTTTCCATAAAAGCTCATTATATAACAAACACCATATAAATTCACATTTCAAACTTTGTGCAAAAATTATAAAAAATCTATCTGCAAAGCTTCAGCTAGTTGCTCCCACAGATAAAACTAAAGCATGAAGAGCTTTGTCGTATCATATGTTTTCAAATATGTAGCTAAGCAGAATATACTGAAGTGCCGCAAGAACTAATGTATTTCTTCTCTACAGGTTTCTCGGGAAAGAGGAGAGCAGTTGGCCGTAGAATATGGCATAAAGTTTATGGAAACTTCTGCAAAAGCCAGTATCAATGTGGAAGAAGCTTTTCTAACATTGGCTAGCGATATAAAATCAAAAATGGAAAAACGATTGGTAACCGTAATCCTGCTTTGAAATTATTATACGTTTGTATATTTCATTTTTGATTTCAGGAAGCCAACAACCCACCAAAGGGAGGTCATCAATTGAAGTTTGCCGAAAATCGAAAAACAGAGACTTGGTTATCGAGATGTAATCTACTTTGACGCGTTCAAATAAATTTGCATACCATAGAAAAAAACATAATTCTCAGATGTTTAAAAATTAAGTGGTTTTATAATTAAAAACTGGAAAAAATAAAAAAAAAAACATTGACAAAAATAAGGTTAAGGTTAGTCAGATCGTCAGTTACATTCAGAGATCAAAACCTCGAAAAATTGAACAGGGGATCCAATAGGGTGGTGTCCTCTCACCTTCTGTTTCATTTGTATATTTCGAAGTTTCCCCAATCACCAGAGGGAGCTTCGAATTATTTCATACGTCGTTCGATATTGGCGTCCGGCATTGGAATTGATGATCGGCAGCCGGATTCCAACATTCGCCATCGCTAATTTTGATCGCCAAAAGAAAACAAGGCCCGCCTATGAACATGCAACATCAACAGTATATTTTGCTTTGCTGCCTTTATGCTGAAGTGCACATTTAAGATACCTACCACAAAATGCGCATCAGCGGCATTATTTTAAACATTTATAAGGAAACTGCTCCGATAAATGCATTCAACATACCTGCACATTAGCGATACCTGCCTTAAAAATTTGCAACTATTATAAATTATCAAAGAAAGTATTACGTTTACCTGCATTGGCTCCACTCTTACCCTAATTTTACAAGCGTTATTAATTTTTCTCATCTCGCAGAACAACGAAAACGGCTTTATATGTAGTTATATATGTAGATAATTAGATACCATTCGGAAAAAGTTTCGTTTGCAGTAATTTCAACGTGGTAAGTGCTCCTCCATTATTTGCTTTCATAGGGATTCGGATACCTTCCCCATTTAAGTAGTAAAGAAAATTTGCTTAAGTGCTCTTTTCGGTTAAGAGCACAAGCTAAGCAAAATATACTATAGTTACGTGCCCCTCATAGCTGAAATACAATGCCGGCGAACGGCGAACTCACCACAGCGAAATTCGCGCTGTCAAAATTAGAACACCCGCAAGCATATAAAATTGAACACAGCCAAAGCGAAATGAGAAGTTCGCTTGACGGCGTTTCATGGTGATTGATTTATTTCTATCGCCCTGCTGGGCGATGACAGCTGTGCGTGCCAAAGGTGGCCGTATTTGTTTTTTGCTTTCAAAGTTTTAAAAGAAAACAACCTAAACACGACTTTTTTTTGTTGTTTGAAAAATATAGTTGTGGATTAGTTAAATCTGGCTTGAAACAAATTATTTATAATAATCTTTCTTTGTTTTACATTTATATTTGTTATCATTTCCTCATTTCTAAATATGGTTTAGTTTTTTCTAAATATGGTCACCCAAATTATAAAGGCGACCAAATGGGATCAGCTGTTTTCGCTACCGCTCTAATTCTGTTTAAGTAGGCGAAATAGCTGGGCGAACGGTGAACGACAGCATCGCCCAATTCGGCGAAGTTTGCCGTTCGCCGGTATTGTATTTCAAGCATCATACTGCCAGCTTTGACAGTGGCAAAAATATATCGATGGTTTTCTTTGATTCGATGCATCGAAAAGTACATCGATATTTTTCGATGCACCGATTTGCATAGGATTTTTCAGATAATAGGCCTCATGCATAAAAAGTGAGCTCAAGCTACGACTCGATTTTCAGTACAAATTCTTGAGTTTGAGCTCACCTCCTCAGTGCAAAAATGGAGTCTGAGCTTAAGCTCACTTTTTATGCATGAGACCCAATGTTTCACACCAAAATATTGTCGCATACTGGCCACAACAAAATATTCTTTTGTTCCCCCCTTCATTATATTTTCCTATTTCCTTTCACTCCAACCGATAGGAGTGGAGTCTACCGACACATACATACATACATACCTAAATAAATAGTAGAATGAGCTCAAGTTGAGCGAAATAGCTGTTTGTCGGTGGAGCGCTACCGCAAAGGGGAAAAGTCTCCATTAGGGCACTCCACCCCAAAACGGTGCCGACCGACAGTAAGAATTTAGGAATGAGAGATGACGCGAAAGACCGTAATAGGGGTGTCGCCGTTGTTCTCACCTATTGCGGCAGTTCTGTTCGCCGTATTATGGTAATGGCAAGTCCATGGTGGTGTTTGTGTGCGCCGTGGTGGCGACCGCTAAAGCGCCCAATTCGCTTCTAGAATGATCGGGCCGGCGCCAATTGATCGGGAATCAACAACACCGGCGCTGACACTCCATCGGTTTGTGTACCGGTGCGTAGGTTGCGGCCTGGCTCGCAACTGCGTGCCGGGGCAGATCTGAACGAGCATCGAGTCAGACAACACCCGTATTGCGAGCGTAGCATAATTTATTTATTTTTAATTGGCAGCGGATTCTTTTGGTAAAAGCATTTTTTTAAGTGTCAGGCGAGGCACTATTGTAGCAAGATCCTGGGAGAGCAGCGTCAGTCGGGACGTGTTATCGTCGACACCGGATTTGGGAACCAAGAAGAACCCCCGCAGTCGGACCGCCCACCGACCGCCGATAAGTATAATTTTTGTGCGTCGTTGCTGTCGGTATGCTTCTCCTATTGTGTTTCCTTATCCCATCCTTTGTAGCATTCCGCACCCAGAGCCCAGTCACTTGGCGGGCTAAAAAGACCCTCGGCAGCTTGGGTAGTATTACGAGTGGGTTCGTAACCTTTTGGTTGGGCCTCTCCTCGGGGGCGCCCCAAAAACAAGGTTTTGTCTAATCTTCTACTTGTGTAATTAATATTTTTGCACTTTGTGTAATTCGACCCACCCTAGTGTCAGTGTTACATATTGGTATTTCCATACGTCGCATACTTGTCGTATGTTTCAACGTCCGTCACGCTAGCTGACCCACTTCTCCAAAAAATGATAAAAATTACTCAGGAATTAGGTGCAATTTAGGGCCTCCAAAATTAATTTAAGTGCTCACTCGGTTTCCGAGAAAATTGCAAAAATATATGGGTCAGCCAGCGTGACGTCACGCTAACTGACCCACCCACTAATTTTCGTCGAACACTGGTAAATATTATTCAGGAATTAGGTGCAATTTAGGTGCAGCTTAAGCCCACCAAAATTAATTTCGGTGCACACTCGGTTTCCGAGAAATTCGCAAAAATGTGTTTTGGGTCAGCCAGCGTGACGTCTCGCTATCTGACCCACCCACTAATTTTCGTCGAACACTGGTAAATATTATTCAGGAATTAGGTGCAGTTTAGAGCCACCAAAATTAATTTCCGTGCACACTCGGTTTCCGAGAAATTCGCAAAAATGTGTTTTGGGTCAGCCAGCGTGACGTCTCGCCAGCTGACCCACCCACTAATTTTCGTCGAACACTGGTAAATTCAGGAATTAGGTGCAATTTAGGTGCAGTTTAGGGCCACCAAAATTAATTTCGGTGCACACTCGGTTTCCGAGAAAATCGCAAAAATGTGTTTTGGGTCAGCCAGCGTGACGTCTCGCTAGCTGACCTACCCACTAATTTTCGTCGAACACTGGTAAATATTATTCAGGAATTAGGTGCAGTTTAGGGCCACCAAATGATAATTTACAAGGCGTACTTAGCACGGTGCATAGGCAACTGGCTGATAGGGATCGTCGGTTTGAATCCTACTGAAAGAAGTCTGATGAGGAAATGTGGTGATTTCCGAAATAGCTATCACTTCTACAATTTTTTCAAATTATTGTTGCTTTTCCACAATAAAAAAATTTTCATTTAAAACGGCCTCGAGCTCAATATAAATTGTTGAATATAATTGTTATAAAGGCCAAAAAAATAACAAAAACAAATAACTTAAGGACGAGCACACCTAAAATTTAAACATTCTAAAAATAGAATTATTAGCAAAAACCAACAATACCAACAACCACATGATCAAGTGAATTGCAGCGGAATAGCTGCGCTTGATTGTGTTGGCATAACAAAAATGAAAATAGTGGAAAAAAGCAAACGATAATTTACAGAGGCGTACTTAGCACGGTGCATAGGGATCGTCGGTTCGAATCCTACTGAAAGAAGTCTGATGAGGAAATGTGGTGACTTCCGAAATAGCTATCACTTCTTCCATTTTTTCAATTTATTGTTGCTTTTCCACAATACAAATTTTCATTTAAAACGGCCTCGAGCTCAATATAAATTGTTGAATATAATTGTTATAAAGGCCAAAAAAAATAACAAAAACAAATAACTTAAAGAGGAGCACACCTAAAAAAAAAAGTTAAACATTCTAAAAATAGAATTATTAGCAAAAACCAACAATACCAACAACCACATGATCAAGTGAATTGCAGCGGAATAGCTGCGCTTGATTGTGTTGGCATAATAAAATTGAAAATAGTGGAAAAAAGCAAACGATAATTTACAAGGCGTACTTAGCACGGTGCATAGGCAACTGGCTGAGTCAGTGGGATCGTCGGTTCGAATCCTACTGAAAGAAGTCTGATGAGGAAATGTGGTGATTTCCGAAATAGCTATCACTTCTACCATTTTTTCAAATTATTGTTGCTTTTCCACAATAAATTTTCATTTAAAAAATGGCCTCGAGCTCATTATAAAAATTGTTGAATATAATTGTTAAAAGGCCAAAAAATAACAAAAAACAAATTATTATTTTTTAGAAAAATATAGCGCATGCCACAACGAAACACGTGTAACTCAAAGTTTTAGACATTGTAAAAGGTTTTCATAATTCGACAAAGTTCAAAAACAAAGTAATCGAAATTTCAAACTTTTTAATTGGAATTTCCAGAAAAAATTCGGGTATGCGAAAAAACTCTAAAACCAAAGAAATTTTTGAGCTATTTCGAACTTGCACATGTTATACTAAATTTGAATAGGCTATAAAACTGCATACCCGAATTTTTTCTAGAAATTCCAATTAAAAAGTTTGAAATTTCGATGACCTTTGTTTGAACTTCGTCGAATTGTTATTAATCTTGTACAAAGTCTAATAGTACAACTCCAGAACAAGCTTTTCCGGCGTTTCGCGCTTTAAAGGCTTTCAGCTACACTATTCAGCTATTGCTGAAAGCCTGAAGCGCCGACCGCCCGAAAAGCTTGTGAAGTTGTACTCTGAAACGTTGAGTTACATGTTTTTGTTGTAGCATGCACTATGTTATTATAGAAAAAATTAAAACTAATAAATTAGAATTGGTGGGTCGGGCCGTATCTGCACGGAAAAGCTCGAATAAAGAAATAATGATATATTCATTATATAATGGGTGTCTTAACTGATTATGAATATTTTACTTCTTGTTTACGTATGAGAAATGGATAAAGATGATATATTTACTAACTGGAAACCGATTAATGATCGAAAAAATTTCGATAGCTTTCGAAGCGGGTGCCATGATTCGCCTATTCGATTTGACTAGGGAATCCAATCCCGCAACTTTTTCCGTGGAAAATATTGCCTCTATCGAAAAAGCTAATATTAATTCACATACAGTCTTCCAAAAGCACAATGTGCGCCATTCGCAGTAATTTTGCGCAGAATTATTTTTCTGGTTGGCGGCCTATGGCCGCGACTCAAAAAAAATAGTCCCCATCAGTTCAACTCACTTAAACCTGGCAAAATTATGTTTCGAGCATAAAATTCTATAAAATATAAAATAAAATATAAATACGTCATATATTTTACAATACAGTATATTTTGCTTAGCTGCACATCCTTCTTTGCACAAAAAACTTGTGCACGTAACCGAAAAAGGCACTTAAGCGAATTTTCTTTACTACTTCAATGAGGAAGGTATCCGAATCCCTATGAAACCAAATATTGGCGGAGCACTTACCATGTAGAAATTACTGCAAGCGAAATTTTTACCGAATGTTATCTAATTATCTATATAACTACATAAATTGATAGCCATTTTCGTTGTTCTGCGAGATGTGTAAAATAAATAAGAGGTTGCAAAATTAGGAAATTGTAGGGCCAGTGCAGGTAAACGTAATACTTTCTTTGATAATTGATACTAGTCGCACAATTTTTAAGGCAGGTATCGCCAATGTGCAGGTATGTTGAATGCATCTATCGGAGCAGTTTCCTTTTGATGCGCATTTTGGGGTAGGTATCTTAAATGTGCACTTAAGCATAGAGGCAGCAAAGCAAAATTTACTGTATATTATAAAATATAAATATGTCATAGGGTTATCGCCTGAAAACTAAAGATCGCGCTGCTGAAAATATAGATTTCGGGCATTTTCTCAAAAACTGATCAGTCGATATTATTCTAGGTTTCCTCAAGTCTAGCCCAAAACCTTAGCTTTCATCTAGTATATAGCTTATGTCTGGGAAAACTCTTGTTATGGAGATATGGCGATTCAAATAAAAAAAAAAAATCGCTCCAAATAGCGACAAATGGTTAAAAATTAACATATTCGTCTAATTTGGTTGCTTTAAGTTATCAACATAACACACCCAATTCTCCGCTAAAAACTTCCAATCCCCGATTGCCACTAAACCGAAATTTTCTGCAAATCGGGGAAAGTTCCTGTGATTTGACTTCCCTGCACGCTGAGTGCTGATCCCATGCGACCACTAACGTAACATTTTTTGGGAGAGGTAAGTTTTTATTTTTTTTTTGTTTGAAGTCGAAAATATGTTTTTGCTTTTTTTTTAAGTTAATAATAACGATAATAGTGTACTATAATATTTTTGATAATACACACTTCGTTGGGGACCTCATTCGACTAATTGTGTGATTTTCTTTATGCGCCTAATTAAGGGTTAAACCCGTAGATAATTCAATTTTTGCCCACATTTTATATGCAAGGGAAGCACTGTGTGCCGTCCCGGTTAATTTTGAACAGTTATTAACATTACATTGACTATCGATAGTACTATCGATGGTAGCGCTTGACGAGATGCATACAACTAGCAGAGTTGAACAAAAAATTGACAAACTTGTGAAAATAATTGCAAANATTACATTGACTATCGATAGTACTATCGATGGTAGCGCTTGACGAGATGCATACTACTAGCAGAGTTGAACAAAAAATTGACAAACTTGTGAAAATAATTGCAAAAGGCCATCATGCGTTGCGATTAGTAGAGGAGTCCGAAATGATAAAGCCAATCGAAAAGGTGTCACAGAACTCTCATTACAAAATTCCCAGCCGAAAAGCAATATCGGAAAAACTTATACCCAGTATTTTCAGTGAATTAGAAGCAGATATAAGATCGCAGTTGAAACAAGTATTCGCACTATGTCTTAAAGATGTGATAGACGACATATATGCATATAATCTGGCACACATATGCGCATAACAATTTTACCCTTACAGACGGCAGTAACGGGGATATACGAGCCGCAAGGTAGTGGGTTCGAGTCCCACGGCCAGTAGAATTTTCATTTATTTCATTTTCATTCTTTTTTTTATAAGTTCTATATTTTTTTACGTTGCTTTCAATTAGTTGTTGTGGACTTTTTAATAAAATTCAACTCTTAAAATTTAAATTAACTAATAGTAAAAAAAGTGATATAAAATTAAGCAAATGAAAATAAAATTTCTAGAAATTTTGCGATATGGATCACGATCCATCAATATTGCATGCTACACAGTCAATAAATATCGCGATACTTGAATCACGTTAATTAATATTGATCGTGAGACATGGCCCATTCAATTTGGAGTAGGATTTTCAACATGGAATTTTCCGATGTGATATTGTTCAGCCCGATATATTGCCATATCGATTTTACATGCATTTGATTAAATCGATTCATGATATCGATACTTTGTTATATATCGAAAATTCCTATTTGGCTGTACACAGCGTGTGAAAATTTTCGATGCCTCAAAATAAGAAATCGATATTTTCGATGCATCGATCTTTTTCAGAAATTCCTATTTGAAATTCCTGCTAAGGATGATATAGATTTACGATGTTTTGCTTTAAAAACTTTCGTCAAAGGCTTAATCTAAGGTATATTTCTTCGTTGGTGCAGAGTAAAGCATATATTAATGGCAAATGGGTTAAAGCAGAGAATAATGAAGTTTTCGAAATTATCAATCCAGCAAATGGATCTGTGGTTGGATCTGTGCCTAATATGAGCGTAAATGATGCTAGCCAAGCAGTGCAGGCGGCAAAGAAAGCATTTGAGTCTTCGCAATGGTCCATGTTTACGGCCAAAGAACGCTCGAGTTTATTGAAGGTTGTAGGAGTTAACATTAATTAAATGTTCAGTATTAGGTTGAATTAAACATTGCAGAAATGGTATTGTTTGATTGAGGAAAACGCTGATGAGATATCTTCAATTATGACTGCTGAGTCTGGAAAGCCACTAAATGAAGCCCGTGGAGAAGTTGCTTACGGTAACGCTTTTATTGAGTGGTTTGGTGAAGAGGCTCGACGAATTTATGGAGAGATTATCCCAAGTTCAACCAAGGATCGAGAATTAATTGTATTAAAAGAACCATTGGGCGTAGCTGCGCTTATAACCCCTTGGAATTTCCCTATGGCAATGATAACTCGAAAAGCTGGAGCAGCTTTGGCAGCAGGTTTGATATACATATTTACCAATAATACCCTCAAGTATTCATTAATATGGCAAGAGTTGGGGTTATAGGGCTTTCGCACCTGGCGATTTTTCAGTTAATTTTTGCGTTCCACTCACGCAGGTTTGCACGAAAAAAAATGTAATGGCTAATAATATCGAATTAGTTGCCATAAAAGGACTTTTGCATTTGTTCAACTTTGCATTCTACTTTTGGTTTAACGGACTTTCAACTAATCGCTTTCAATAAAGTAGGTCGCCAGCCAACACTTAGCCATTCAACTTTTTTTTCGTGCAACCCTGCGTGAGTTGAACGCAAATCGCCTCGTGCGAACACCTTTTTTACCTTCCTTTTATTAGCTCGTGATGTAACTATGTAAAATTGATGCGCCTAAAAGATGCAGCGATTTCTATTCTCAAGTTACATACCTGATGACAATACAAATGGGGATTATACTAGGGGGTTTTAGTTGTTTAACCTATAATTTTATTATAGGGAATTTACATGATTCAACTTTCACAGGCGATTAGTTGAACCAAAAGTTGAACGAAAGTAGGGAGCCGACCAACTTCATTGTAAGCGATTAGTTGAAAGGCTGTTTACACCAGGCGATTGTTGCTTTTAACTAAAAATCGCCTGAAAAATCGCCTCATGTAAGTTCCATATTAGCTTTCCAATCCGGAATCATTCGCGATTTCAATGAATGTATATGAATTATATCAAGAAATTTGGTGGGGTTGTTAGGGAAGGCCTTCTTTGTCTGAATTAATTGCTCTCGCAATGTAGTTACTATTGTTATTAAGGCAGTTTGATTTTCAATTATCTTCACTACTACAACAAAGGTTATAGTGCAGCTCATGGTCCCCACCGAAAAATGGGGCAAAGGAATCGAACGACGCGTATTACGGTCAGTATTAAGAAGCCGAATTCTGAAACTAATTTTTTTTAAACCGTTCAAAAGTTTTTCGTAAACTATTTCATCCAGCTCAACTTTATTAGTACTAAAATCACATAAATAAATGCATGAAATGAACGCATATTAATCTCTAGATGTTCACCATAGTTTACCCGAATATGCAACAAAAAATCGCGAAACAATGATTTACATCCCTATTCTGCAACTCTTTCGTATTCGGATTTTGCTACAAATCGTAGAAATAGTATGCTGAAATCCGAATCGTATTTTCGACCTTTCGAAATTCGTAACAATGGCATGCCTAAAAACGAGCGAGTAAGCTTTTTGCGTAATTTTGTACGAAAACAATTCTGTGGCTGAGGCGAGATAAAAGATGTAAATTGATGTGTGTTTGCAGGAAATATTAGTGGTGTTCATTTAAGGAGATAAATATGCCTTTCGCATATACGTATATTTTTATCCACTCCTTTATATAAACGAGCAAACAAGAATCGTTTTTGCCCCTTAGGGAAAACCTTGGCTTCGGTTTAGTTATTTGTACAATGATTTTCGGTTATTGTGCCCAAAAGCATAACCCGCATCCAAAAACTTTAACATACACGTCTAGCGTGGTTGCACATTTCCTCCTTTAAACCGTCTGTATCTGAGGAAAACCTTATTGCGAATGTATCTAAACATGCAAAGATCGATAGTACACACCTTACGTGCTACAAATTAGTAAAGAAAGGAACTCCACTTGAGAGTCTTCGGAGCGTGAACTTTAAGATTGGTGTGATATCTTCCCTCTACAACAACATCTTAAATCCAAATGTGTGGCCGTCTGATATCATTGTGCGGCCCTTTCGATTTTTTCAAACAAATAGTGTTATACAGTCTAATGCCGAAATATACATGCAAAAATCTGGATATATACTTCCAGAATATGGGTGGAATGCGCACGAAAGCTAAAGAAGTCTTTCTTTGTCCTTCACGTATGGATTATGACATATATATCTTTGTGGAAACTTGGCTTAATAGTAATTTCTTCAGTGAAGAATACTTTGATTCCAGACTTATAGGAAAGACCGTGATGCTGAGAAAACTGGCCACTTCAAAGGGGTGGTGTACTAATTGCTTTAAGGCGTAGTTTAAGGTCGTCATTTTTTGAATTGCTCAACCACGATACTTTAATTGACCAATTATGTGTGCGCGTTGTTGGCTCGTTCGGCTCTTTGTTNCCTAACAGTTCAGATGAGATAACTATCACATAGAGAATATCACACACATCTATGAAAGTAATGAAAATTGTAATCTTTGTATTCTTGGCGACTTCAATCTCCCTGGCATTAACTGGACATGCTTTCAAAACTCGGGGTGCCTTACCCCAACCAACGTTACTCGTTCGCATGAAATAAACTTTATTGATAGTCTTTTTAGCCTTAATCTTACGCAAATTAATTGCATATTCAATAAGTTATCTAAATTATTAGATCTAGTGTTTGTAGACGAAAATTTGATATCTAATCTCTCTGAATGTTAGACTCCGATCTGTTATTCCGATATGCATCATAATCCCCTTATTGTTTCTTTAGAGTTTTTTGATAAGCTTCCCTTAATACAAAATAATAGGATTTCCTACAATTTTCGGGATGCAAATTATGACGGCATAAACCTGGCTATAAATAACGTAAATTGGTGTGATATCTTCAATTCAAAAGATGTTAATGCCTCTTATGAAACCTTTCTTTGCATTATGTCTGAAGTCTTCTCTGAGCAACTGTCTGCTTTACCCTCCAAGCCTCATAAATTACCCTGGTACTCTGTCACTCTAAAAAATCTGAAAAATAAGATAAATAAATGCTACAAGCGCCATATGGCAAATATTGACAATACTTATCTCAAAGAGCAATACCTTAACTATGCGAAACAGTTTAATGTTCTTGATAAATTTCTTTATAACCAGTACATTAGGAGACTTGAGTCTGAACTTAAAGACAACCCAAAAGCTTTTTGGAATTTCGTACGCTCTAAGTTAGTTAGTTAGGGTTAGTTCTAATATTCCGACTTGCATGTACTTTAACGGTCAATCCTCGAAATCTCTACCAGATACTTTGGAACTTTTTGCAAATTTTTTAGCTCGAATTTCGCCTGTGAGAGTGATTCTATAAATCTACCACGAAATTACTGGCCGACCCAACGCCTAGATTTTGATTGTCTCGACAACTGACATTACTTACGCCTTGTCTACCCTAACTCCGATATTGAAATGTGATTCTGATGGTTTTTGTGCCCACTTCGTTAAACGATATAGTCTGTCATTATGTATTCCTTTATGTCATATATTCAACCTATCCCTTTCGACTGGATTATTTATTAATAGATGGAAAATTGCGTCTATAACCCCAGTCTTTAAATCTGGAAATAGAAACGATATCACAAATTTTACAAATTATAGGCCTATTTCGAAACTGTCTGTCTGCTCAAAGCTATTCGAAAAAGTGATACATTTTAAACTCTCTTTTCTTGCCAAAAGAATGATTGAGCCCCACCAACATGGTTTTGCAGCTGGTCGTTCAACGGTCACTAATTTAGCTTCTTTTTTAGAATTTTGTGTTTCTTCCTTCAAAGATGGCTCGCAGGTAGACACCATTTATACGGACTTTTCTAAAGCCTTCGATAAGGTACCACACCTATTATTGCTACACAAGTTGGAGTGCATTGGTGTTCACTCTAATTTCCTAGCTTGGCTAAAGTCTTACCTTACAAATAGGACTCTGTCTGTTCATATCGATGATTGTCAATCTAATCCCTTTGTTGTAACATCTTGGCCCCCTATTGTTTGTCCTGTTTATAAACGATATTAGCTCCTGTTTCAAACACGCCAGTTTTTTATTTATTTATTTTATTTATTTATTTATTTATTGACAGTCTTTAAGACCTATAAAAAATCTTGTCAATTACATTATTAACTTATTTAATTTAATTGATTTCTCTTCTACTAATACTATACATCAACATTTTTCTTATTTCCTTTACTAATTTTTACTTATTTTCAAATACATACTTTATGCATTTATACATATTAATTTATTGTACAATTAATTAAATAATGACACGTACATTATAGCCTCGGGTTGGATAGCTGCCGAGGCCTAGTCTCCAGTCTATCTTTATGTTCAGCAGGCGGAAAGGCCTAGTTTCCGCTCTGCGTCAATAAAGGCGTTTACCCTGGTCGGAAAGGCCGAGTTTCCGATCCATGTTCTTTTCATAATTATGTTGCTGTGAAACGGGCGGAAAGCTCTAGTTTCCGCTCCGTGCTACGAACGAGCTGTTGGGCATGGTCGGGAAGGCCGGGTTTCCGATCCATGCTCGTAACGTCTCTCATACGCTAGTATCTTGTTAGAATGGGGAGGCCCAATAGCAATCTTATATGTGTTTTTTGCAATGCTCGTATAATAAACTTTTGAATTTTTATAAGCTATTGCAGCTTCTTGTTGTTGCTGTTGTAGCGGCTACAACAACGCCGCCCAGGACGGTTGGTAAATCAGTCGTTGTCGTCAAGTTCCACTAACGGCAACCCTAGGAAGCGTGCAGCTTCTGTGGGGTTTGTCCACAAGGACAAGGNATAAGCTATTGCAGCTTCTTGTTGTTGCTGTTTTAGCGGCTACAACAACGCCGCCCAGGACGGTTGGTAAATCAGTCGTTGTCGTCAAGTTCCACTAACGGCAACCCTAGGAAGCGTGC